CTATACTACTGTACTACAACAACAACAACAACAACAACTACTACTACTACTACTACTACTACTATACTGATTAATTACTACTGTACTACTACTACTACTACTACTACTGTAATACTGCTGTACTACTACTGTACTACTACTGTACTACTACTGTACTATTACTGTACTATTACTTACTGTAATTACTACTACTGTACTATTGTGATGCTGTACTACTGTACTACGACACCCGACCCCCCCCTCAATAATACTCCGACCCCCGACCCCACCCCCCTCAATAGTCAATCCACCATTGACGGGGCCAGCAATCAATCAACGGGGGGGGGGGAGGGGGGGGTTTATTATTAGCAGGTCAACATTAAGGAACCCCGAAAAAAATATAGCTAATAATTAAGGCCCCTACATCCCTAAACCCTCAACCCCAATCGGCCACCTCACCCTAAAACCCTAAACCCCAAACGCTAAACCCTAAACCCCAAACCCCAAACCCTAAACCCTAAACCCCAAACCCCAAACCCCAAACCCCGATCCTGCGCAGCAGCATTAGCACATCGGCTTGCAGGTTGGCTTGCTGCCAGGGCCGTCGCGATCGGCCTGGTTAGGCCACCGATGTGAGGGCCCTCAGACTTGAAGTAGGGCTCCTTTGAATTACAAGAAAGCAATGATGATTTGTTTTAACAATAGTAGCAAAAATAATAACAAGAATACTGCTAATCATAATAACAGTCATAGTAATAACAACGGTGCCCTAAGACTTAAAGCTGGGTGATGCAAGGACTACTACGGCTCCGCCTAGGGATTTGGCGGTGTATGCGGTATATTGTGTTGCAGTTTTAGGGATAGTGATAGCAACAATAATTTAGGCATACTATGGCTGATCATTCCGACCTCCGGGAATTACCAGCATTGGACACAGGATTGGTGCAGCTTCGTCAGAAGGGTCTTTAGCTCCGGCTACTGTTTTCGAAGACTCTTTTTGGCTGGGCTTTGCTGGGTTTGTTCGGACGGAACATATAGAAAAGCGATTGTAGCAGGGAAGCCCAAAACTTCCGAACTCACAAAAAATGAATGCATTTCTGGTGAAAAAGCCCGTAAGAGGCAGATTCAACCCTAACCGCAAACCCCACGTGGTCCAAACCCTAAACCCTAAACCCTAAACCTTAAACCCTAAACCCTAAACCCTGAACCTTAAACCCTAAACCCTAAGCCCTAAACCCTAAACCTTAAACCCTAAACCCTAAACCCTGCAAGTTGTTGTTG